TTTTGTATATATATTATAATTGATACTTCTTAATTTTGTATCACAGTTTTAACGTATTCAAATATTAATATAACATAATGTTATTTAAATATTTTGCATTAAATTAACAGTCAGCATTTTTTAAAACGCAATTTATAAATAAATATAGAGAAATAAAAAAATAAATTTTAAATTTTATAAGATTTAGTATTTAAATATTGTTAAAAATTTTAAATTTAAGATGAATAAAATGTATTTGTGTCAATTTAATATCTATACATATTAGTCATAATTTGTTATCTCGTTAACTCGCTTTTATAACTGAGTGAATTGATTCAATTGGAAGACGAGATCAAGCAGAATGGATTGCGACGTACGCGTTTATAATAGAAGCGGTCCAGCTGGAGTCTGCGGGAGAGTCGCGCTTTCGTTTCGGTTTTCTTACGTGCTCCGCGTGACGGACGAGACGTGATCTTCCTTTTCTCTGCGATCTTGATCTTACACGAGGGCAAGAACTCCTTCGATCAAATAGCAACGCGCGAAGATGCATTGCCCGCGCGTGTTGCCTGCGATTTTGTTTTTCATCCTGGTAATTCTTTGCTCGCTTCGCAATTTTATATTTAACCATTTTATGCACGTTTTGAATATATACGATAATCATTGTATAGAAAAAAATTCGATATTAACACCTTAACAATTTAACAAGATACAATATATTGTTATAAAATTAAGTATTGTAAATATTAAGTAATACAGGCGATAGTTTAAATTGAAATATATGGCGCAATAAATTTGGAATACAAGTATATCGCATCGGAAATTGTAATGTGAATAAACATCCTGCTGGACGATATTGACTTGGCCTTGATGTAGCTTCAATTATTTGTAGAAGCATGTTTATCAATTGGACGCCACGCAGAAACAGTCCAATTGCATTTTTATCTTGCAACTTTCACTCAGTTTTATTTTAATAAATCATATTCAATGCGATCATATACATTTTTAATTACTTTATCTTTATATAACAATAAAAATAAATTCAAAAAATCTTATAAATATAATTATTATAAATATATTTATCTCTTTATAAGAATTATTGATTACTTATGAGTTTCTCTATCTTATGAAATTTTTGTGTACAAGATTCATCAAAAACTGTTACATGAAGTAACAGCTCTCGATCACAACATTTGTGAAAGGATTTTAATTAAAAAATTATTATAGAATATAACTTTATTATTTTATTATAATATATGTATTATTTCTAATGTCATTCTGTAAATTTTAGTGAAAAAATAAACTTTACTTGAACATGTAATGGTAAGGATAAGCAGAGGCGCCAGGAATAATTTTTATTTGTCGCAACATGTTCATTGTGCATTGAAGGCAAACAACATTCTTGTCGATCCGGCGACCGATTTTCACCGACGAAAATACGTTTTCTGTCACATTAGAAAAATCCAAACGATGGAATGGATAAGCGCCAAACGGCACAACGTCGCCAATAAACACATTTTTCAAGCCGTCGAGGAAGAAACAATTCTTTTTTCTCTTTTTTTGTTGCGATTAATTCACCGGTGGCGTCTCGGCGTTCAACGACTCGCGATGTAAATCCGTCATCGATTACAGATAAAGTGACGCAATGAATATCTAACAAGGCTAGTACTCGCGGATCTTACATTACGGTAGCGATTCTTATGAGTAGTAAATAAGGTGTGCTTTTATATGGATAGTCAATAATGACGCGTGACTGTTCTCGAAGAATACAGTCATGTCCATATACTTAAGAATTGTTCACACATACATCGGTAATAAAATACCGTTTAAAACCGAGATTCAATTTTTTCCTATTTATTAAGCATTCTTTTTGGTTCTATTTATACGATATTTAATCTTTCATCTGTCATATAAAATTTTCGGACATAGTCTCCAACCTGAGTCATTGCAAATTTTTCTTATTATTTCGGACTACGTAAAAATCTGAAAATATCTATATACTCTTGTATACTTCTGAAATCTTTAATAATACAAGTTTTTACTACAATAGATATCGCATTGTTTTTTAATTTTTTTTTTACAAATTTAAATGTAAGAGTTTTGAAAAAAATCGGTTAAAAATTTATAACTTTTATATGAGTGAATAAAAAGATATTTTTAGACTACAATACTATAAAAGTCTCTAAGAAATATCATGTCTCGTTTAAAATATTTTTTTGCTGTATACTAAAATGTTATTATGAATAATTTTATTATTAAGTTGTATACTATAATATTTATTTATTTCGGACATACTATAAGAATTGTAGAACAATTTCGGTAAATTTTATACAGTGTCAGGAAGTTAATTTGAAGCTTGTATCGAAAGTTTATTCAGACTAAAAAAAGCTCTTCCGAACTGAAAGGACGATTATACAGAATACATTGGTTCTTCGTGTATTAGCGTAATAATACATGGCGCGCGGCGATGACTTCCGGCATGGCAAAGCGTCCCGTTTGCATTAACGGTGATAATAAATTCGGAGCGGGATTTTATGCAAGGCCTTGCACGTGAATTCCAACGAATTTTCATCCATTATACCTGTCAGCCACGGTCACGCTTATCTACTTAAATGGACATCCATTAAATGTGATTTCTTTCAACTTCTTGGATATAAATCGCAATTAAATCTGCATTCTTATATTTTTGTTGAGCTTACGATAAACTTTGTTATTTATATAAGTAGTTGTCAGTTAATATCTTCTTAATACCAAATAAGAGCAAGAATAATTCCATAATAAATCTTGAAAGTCAAGTTGAAAGTCTGATGCTTTTTTAATTTTTAAATTTATAACGTTGTTTTAAAAGTAACGGCAAATTATAAGATAAATTTAACAAAGAAAAATGATAATATCTTCGATAATTAAAAAAAAAAAACACTATTATAGTAAAAAATTATTTAAATTGTTTAACTTAATTATTTTAGTTAAATTAATGATATACTGAGTAGGAGTAGTGGTTTATAGAAATGATTAAAAATAACTTAAATTCGACATAATTTGACATTATGGATTATTTTAAGTATAATTTAACAGCGCACTTCGCTGTTTCATCGAATCGTTATTCATAACGGAAACGTGGGAGACGTATGTAGGTGGCAGATCGAGATTTATGCAGCATAATCACAGTTTTGTTTTAATCACTTGCTTATTTATTCGTGCGTGATAAACGACCAGTAGACGATCTGTGAAACTCATTGATTCAGAAAACACCGCGACAATCGCGTGCTTTAACAATCAACTGATCTGGTGATTAGCAGGCACATCTCTCATTGATCTATGAGTGGAAAACGTGCAATTGGCTCATGTCAATACCGTAGGGTTTTAAAAATGCGTATAAAGCGGCATTAAAATAAAACAACAAATAAACTGGGACAGAGAGAGAGAGAGAGAGAGAGAGAGAGAGATTTATAATGAAATAGAAAAAAATATTTTAAACATAAACTGCTTTTATGTATCAATTATCAAAAATTATGATTAATTTGAAAAATTATAAAAAATTGTTATCACTTGTGCATTTATTATACATTAACTGAATTTATGTTTAAACTTTTCAATTTTAATTTTGAATTTATTGCACTGTTATTGATATAATTTGCATTTGTATTGTTTTATGCAAAATTTATTGATTGAAATATACAATTAGAAAAGAAAAATTATGTGAATAATTGTGATGCATGTAATATGTTCCTCACTATGTTTTGGTATAATTTAAACTTATTACTACAATTATTCACGTTATATTTTACATCGTATTGTTATCTTATATTATATTTATTATTACAATTTTTAACAGCGTTTAAAATTTTTTAAATGCAGAAGAAATAAGAAAAAATCTGGATAGCATGCGGTTTATGTGAAGGCGGAGATCTATGTATGGAAAGCCTGTCGGATAGAATTTATATTCTATAATTTGGTTTTTTAACTTTACATAGAAAGAGTTATACTGGCGCGACAGCGACTTTTGGTTATTTTTCTGAAATACGCGTTTTGTCATAAATTGTGTAGATGCCTTCACGATGCGTTTTTACGATTCAATAACGGTATCAGTAGCAGTAACGTTCACTGAAACGTATATAGACATGTATTAAAAAATTAGAAAAGCAGAAAATTATTAAAATTTTAAGTCTCGATAATACAAACAAGATTATTTCGCTTCACGATCTGGACATTACGCAATAAGACTTTAAATAAGTATATATCTCATTTTATCTTATAGATGCAATTCCTTGTATTTAGATGCAATTCATGTTACCTTGCAGAAAATTTGAAAAATAATAATTATTTGTTGTAAATAGTTTTCACATTTATAGAATTTATCTACATATTGAAAGTAAAGTGAAATCTCGAAATATCTTGTGTCGTTCATCGAGAATCGCGAAATTGCTCCGAATTCGCGCAGTTTCTTTTAACGACCCGCGGATCCGTGATCGGAAGACCTCCCTCGAACGTCAGCAAACACGTTCCTAGACCTGACAAGAGCCAAGAAAGAATTTCGCGGCCGACATTGATCGTGCAACGGCACGTTGCGTCGGTGACCTCGTCGCTTCCGGTATAGCGGTAGCGGCGTGACTGTCTGCGATTCTTTTAATGGTAGCGACTCACAAATTCCGGCGAGCTTCATTCATCGACGATGGCGTACGATAAATAAATAAGATCGTAGCCGACAGTTATTGGGGAATGCGCGAACGTTCGCAGTAATTTACGCAGCGGCCCGCATTTTGCGTGCGTAAGTGCGTGATGCGTCCGTCGCGTGAGCCGCTCACTCGTAACTCAACCGAGATCGTTAATATCCCGTAGGATGAATCTAGCTCGTTAGTCCTCGTACAAGGCAACCAAGGACAATCCACGTGAGCCGTAATCTCTTTCGTGCGAGGCAAGATTCGTCTTTCTTTTCACTTTATTTTTGCAAGTATCATCCTTCGCTTGATCGTCTTTTTAGTTCGTAGCATAATTTGAATTTCAGGGTGAAGGAAGGATGAAGAATGCCCCGCGCTGGCGGAGGAGATGGGGGTAGTGGACCCCAGAGGACAGGAGGGGGTGGCTTTGGAGGATGGCTGGGTGGCGCTGCAAGAGCTATGACAGGTGGAGGTGTCGGTGGTGGATACGTTGTTCTGGGTGGCACCAGATACGGTCTGCGGATCTCTCAGGTATTATACTTTATCTATTATTTTACGGCTATAAAACGTCTTGTTAAAATCATTTTATCAGAACATTTTAGAAATATCAGATTACAAATATAATGTAAAGGAAATAGAAGTTTTATAAAAATCTTCTTGATATTATATTCAAGAGGTATACATATTGTTTGTTTATATTTTAAAGAGTTATGAAAAAGTTATATTTCTCTGTTTTATTTTAATTATATATTTTGATTTTGTGAATAAAATTAAATAATATAATTTGTAACTTTATAAATAAAAGCATCAGATTATTGCCTTAGTTAGAAATTAAAATTAAAAAAGCATTAAAAATTAAATTCCTAACAAAATTTTTTTATATCATTATATAAAGAAAAGTTGCGATATTTTCTTCTTAAACCAACTGTTCCCTTTGAACTTCGTCTAGTAACGACCTTTGATCGCATTGCTACAGGAGCGATCCATGGCAACAAAATTAAGACGTCTAAGGACCTAAATTTAGAAGGCAATCATACAAATAGAATCCGCCAGTCACTGACTTAAGCCGATTTTGACTTTTCAACTCTTATCTCTGCCACTCTTTCTGACTTTGCGCTTCTCTTTACACGGTTTGTCAGCGGAATAATATAAGCACCATTGACGTCATAACGGCACGTATGGTTGACGTGACACATCTCATGTGACACATTCGCTTGTCGTTATTTGCCAAATTCTATTCGAGATCCGTATAAATTGTCGCTATTTATCGCTTTATAGATTAATGATATTATCGATTCTGGTGACTTTCAATAATATTACCTTGGACTTGGTGATATAAAAAAAAGACTTGCTGGAATTATTTAGAAGTGACGTGGTAAGGAAGATTTACGAAATGCGAAATGTATCCTCAGAAAAAGTACGCTTGCCTGTACGTCATTTTTTTGTAAGTTTAAAAATACGAGATACATTTGAGACAGCGCGGAGGACAGAATGTCCCTAAGTTAAGGGACGTGAGAGTAATGGAAGGAAACGAGAACAACGCACCGGCGCAGACAGAGAAATAAAGTAGATATGAGGATGTACGTATCTGTGAAATACAAAGACATAGCGAATAAGTAACAAAGATATATGAGGTGTTCTAAAGAGAAAAGTAGCATAATTCTATCTTCAAAAGAACTTAGCAACGATTTTTCTTCGGTATTTAATTTGAATCTTTTACCTCAACACTTTTAGTTTTAAATTAGAACGTCTAAATAAGACTATTTTTAATAAATTAAGCATACACGATGCTTGGTATTTTATGAATCACTTAAAAAAAATGAAATAATGAATGTTGAAGCATACACAAATTACTTTTGAAATATTCCATTTATCTGAATTTTTTTTTTTTAAATGACTATTAACACAGTTTCTTTTATCATATAGTAGAATAGTTATAAAAAAAGATATAAATAAGTAATCATTTTTTTAAAAAGTCGGATAAAAATTTAAGTTTAAAAGTATTTAAAATAAAACCAGCAAATTTTTATTAAATATTATACTGTTAAATATAAATATCAGCCTTATTATTTAACTGTCTTATATGTATTATTTTTATACGGAAATAACTTTCCACAACTTCACTTTTTACAAAGACTATAACACGCACCTGATACATCTTTTATATGATGTACAATATTATATAACTTTTTATTTCTAAATATGAACTTTTCAGTTAATTCAAAAATAACGCACAGGTCTTCCAATGTCTAATTAATAATTTTCGGTGAAAGAAATGAAATTAGTTATGGAAGCGGGAGGGGAGAGGAGGGTGAAATAGTGATACATGTATGTACCATTGGAAATGAATTCATGATACATATCGTGCTGCTCGGGGACGAAAAGATTAAGCGACGATGAGAATTGCTTCATAAAGAATTGGCAAATATTTTTGTGTCTGTTTCAGGAGACCCTGCCACCGATCAACTCCAGAGAGGAATCGCAGGAGCGCCGGCGGAAGCGGAATTCGCGGGAGAGCGACTCGCGGGAGCGGCTGACCGAGAAACCAGTGACGGAAAAACCGCCGATAGATCTAGCGGCCAGCATCGCCGATTGTTGCTGCATCGGTCCGCGATCGCGTCTTCCGCTTCCTCGGATACCACCGGCGATCACCTCTTCGACCATGTCCTCGATGGCGACGGCAGCATCGTCGGCGTCATCGTCGTCGTGTCCTTCGATTGTCGCCGGTGGTTATCCGTCCAGGGAAATCGCCGGCGACTGCTCGTCGCCTCTTCCTGCTTCCACCACGAGCGTCGCGGAGACGACGTCGACGCTCGCTAATAATAGTCGCGGCGCGGTGCAAACATCGGTGGGGAACATCGGCAGCACCAGCCAGCAGCAGCAGCAACAACAGCCACACTACCACTATTACCAGCAGCATTATCCACACGTAGCGGTGGCGGCGGTAACATCGTCGTACTCGCCACCGACGACGACGCCGTGTTCACCCTCGACATCGTTCGGCTACTCGTCTGGCGTCCCGACGACGACGCAGACCGTCTCCGTACCGCGGCAGCTCGCGCAGTGGACGAAGCATCAGACGCTCAAGCTGCAGGTACTTGCTTCAATCGATCGTGTGTCAAGATCGATCGTTTGTTCCTCGCTTGTTTTAGTTCAGTTAGTCATTCGGATCTTCGTTGTTCCGTTATCCGCGAGTGGATTATCATTTTGAGATGGGTATTCGACCGCGTTTGCTATAATCTGCGCGAGATTCAAGTTTCGCGCGTAGACTCGGTGAGGTGCAAAAGGTGGTCACAAGGGATACAAGGTGGAGTGGCTTAGGTCTGGAAGACTTTGTGTCAGCAGCCCCGAGGTAGGTCTCAAGGTCACCGCTAGGAACTTAATCTCTTCAGTGACATGGTAAATTATATCGAGCAGGTTTAATCTTTGAGGTGTACTTTGTCAGAAATAGTTATTGTTTTAAAGAAATTTTTCATTTTCTTTTCTTCTTATTTGATCAAAATAATCGATAACTCTTATTTAAAAGAAAAATGTTTTTATTAAGTACATCTTTTAAAAAGTCCTATTCCTCTTTTTCCAAATTTTGTGTCTAAAAGAATTTTTGATTATAGTACAATTAAAAAAATATTCAATACTTATTGATTATAATCTAATTTTATTTATACTTGTGTGTGTGTGTGAAGGATCTTTAATTAAATTAAATGCTTTTTCTCACGAACGAATTTTTGTTTTGAATTTTGTGAAACTGTCAAAACATCTTCACCTCGAAACATTCACGATTTTATCGCTCGAAGAAAATCCATTCGCTTACAGAGAGGCGTGCCAAAATTCACGCTTGATCTTTCTGCACATTCGAGCAACTTTTCTTCATTTGCTTTTTAAAATCGCGCACTCGCGCGATCGCTTGATTTTTGGATCACCTCATGCTGTAGCGTCGCGCCACGTCGAGAAGGAAAAGATAAAGACGAACGACGAAAATAGAATATCGCTTCTTCTTTGACTAGACACTTATGTTCGCGCACGTATGAGTTTTCGACGTGCTATTAGGCTTACTATTTTACACATTCGCCTACGTGATATATACTTTGCATGGTTTTACCGTATATCATTCATTATACATAAGAATTATGTACGGTTTTTCTGTGTTTGATGAAAAATGCTTGCGAAGCAAATATTTGCTAGATTTTTATCATATACGTAAGTAATATGTGTAGTTTTTCGAAAATTAAGAAAAAACTAAAAGTCTTTTATCTAATTAAAGACCTGATCTTTAATACTATCTTACTTTTAAGCAGATATCTTAGATGATTAATCAGTTATGATTAGAACCATATCTAAGAATGACTTTCTATAATATTTACGGACTAGAATAATTTTCTATCAATACAAATAATTAAGTAATAGTGTCTCCATCATACATAAAGGATTTATCAATGGATAAAATAGATAATGAATGAAAATAGATAATTGGGAGAATGGAAAATAAATATAGAAGTTCTACTGTCTTTAGCTTCATTCGTATCTTGGTTTCACACTCATCGGAATTATTGCAAGACGAGAGGTTTATTAATTTTTCCCTTGTCTGGCTACAGGAACCAGCAGTGATAGCGGTGGACCGATTGCACAGGTTTCGGTGGAGCGGGGGCGGAGGAGGAAGTGGCAAGAAATCCTCTTCCGGCCCCCGCAGCGAGAAGGCTGAGCGCCTTCGCGAGCTCACTGAGAAGCTCAAGGGACCAGCACCGGTTCCGCCACCCAGAAGACCGTCGCGAGTACAGGCTTCTTCCCCTCCTCCTAGCGGATACCAGCCGTCCTCTCAAAATTATCCACAGGTGAGGAATTCCAACGTCATGGTGACGAGAGCTTGACGTCTATTGCTACGTGTAAACGAACGATATTTTACACAACTGAATTTCTCTTTATAATACTTTTGAACGTTCTCTATTGCTAAGAAAAAGAATACCTACTTATTTTTTACAGTTGAACGTTATTGCAAAATTAGATGTATTTAAAAAAAAAATAAACGAAAAAATTAAAAGAAATGTAATGTGATTTTTTAAATATTATATACAAACATATAAAGGAAGTTCTTTTATTATATTAATAATTGTAGAAATATCTTTGCGTTGCTAAAACTAATGGTATTATATTAAGATAAAATATTTATTATTAAGTTTGTGTTGTATAAATATGCATACAAATTAAAAGAATTTTTATCTACTTTCAATATGTAGCATTTGAAAACATAAAAGAAAAATGTCAATTATTTCTAGTACGTAATATTTAAAATATTTAACTTCTTTTTTGAAGGAAATAGAAAAGAGTTGCAAATATATCAAGACATAATTTGTAGGAATAGCCAAACCATTGACTTCTCATTAATAAGTTTCAATGCCCATCTTGTCTCTCATTCTGAGAAAAGTTTTACTGAACTTTATGATTCGCGAGATTTTTTTGTTACTATTTCGCTGAACTCGGTGCATGTCGAAATGTATATAGAGATGATTGTTCTTTCATAATCATACAGAGATTCACAAACGATTGTCATTTTGTTCACATTTAATTTTCATACATTAAATTTCTATTATTTTGCTATTTTCGATAAATTTATTGTTATAATGTTATTAATTCGTAACAAGAATTAATATACATGACGTCAAGTTACGCAAATTTCGACAACATTTAATCTACGATGATACTTTAATCGTTCATGATGTATAAATTATTCTCTGATTTATCGTCTACATGATATTAAATATTTAATTAAAATCTGCCTACAAATAGAGTGGGTGTATGCAACTCGAATGCGAAATTGCACACATTTTTGGCAGATTTAACCTTTTCAGATTTTGCATGCGTTGTAATATACATCAATTAACGACATCCATCAAAATTATTCGGTTCTTTCAACAGCCTCTGATATCAAAATATTTTAATGTACGTGTTGGAAAAATAGTCAAAATTTTAAATAAAATTATTTTTTTAGTATGAATTACTTGTTAATATAGCGCTCTTGTGAATTAAATAAAAAACTTTTTTTTTAACATATTTCCATTCTGAATTGTGTCTGAAGGGTTAATTCGACGCAACATAGAGTCAGATTAACTTAATTTTTTGTTTGTTTTTCTCAGTCGGGCTCGAATCCAAATTGTGGCCGTTTTGAGGGTCGCTCGTCTCACCGTAGTTGTACGTACGAGGGCAACCAACATGGTAACAATAATCAGCAATCTCAGCATCATCAACAGCATCAGCAACAGCAGCAAGAAAATCCGAAGACGATGGTCCGCAGTGAGAGTGTCAGTGAAGAGTGTCTCAGTGATCGGTCGGGAAACAGTGTATACCGGAAGCCATGCCATGATTCGAGAAAGACCTCGAGATCAGGCAGACCAGAGAGAAACAGTGATGACGTCAGTGACCTCAGGAGCAAACCGAATGCCAGTGCGGAGGCGGCGAAACACTTGAGACAGTACAGTGATTCCGTGGTGGACAGTGCTACGAGTGTGGACGATTTGTGCGATAACCTGAACGTTGCTTCCGTTGGCGGCAACGAGGGGGAGGCCCGGGATGCCATCACTAGGTTGGAGCCGCGTGGGCTGCTTACCTTTCACAGGTCCGGCGCGCCCTATAGGAGTGCCTCCTTTGGCCAGGTGGACTTTAATCAAGGTAAGCTTCCGTGTGCTGTGGAGACTTGCAGGCTGAGCTCATTAGAGGTATCTTGCGAGCTAAGCTTAATTAAACCAATTACAGCAAGACTGATATACAGATTGCGTTTACTGTAAGATTTACTGCAGTGGCATCGTGCTAAGCAGAAGGGAAATCGAAGATGTCCTCACGCGCGATTAAATAGAGTTCTTTGGCTATATAGCTTGGTCGAATGTTTGAAAAGCAAAATGTTATTTTTAAATATTTGATTATAATGCGGACAATGCTATTTTCATCCTCGGAGTCCTTCTCTTAATCCACCATCTACACGTGTCTTCGTAAGATACTTTTGGAAACGCGGAACTGAACGCCACAGTGACAGTTTTGTATTAGGTTTCAACCCTGAACTACATACCGCAGTAGTTTTGGTTGCATAATGAAAGACTACAAATAAGAAAAGCTCTAAGTGCGGCTGTCAACAAGATTCGAATTTCTAATGATAGTAATAAAACATTTGGCATCCTTGACCTGTATGTGTATTACTTCGCTACCACAAGGTTTCAATCGCTTTGCATTATATCTTTAAAAATAAATATTTACGCATCCTCCATATATAGAATTAAATTTTATTTAGATAATGAAAAAAAATTAGTGCTTGCACCAATTTATCATAATAATTTTTGTATCTTTTCGTAAAGAAGTATATAAAAAAAAACGAATTCATTTCTAATATAAATATTAAATTTATTTAATTAGAAATATATTATTTTTTTAATTGTTAAAACAACAATACTTCATACAATTCAAATAAAGCATAAAAGTGAGCAAAATATTATGACGATACCGAAAGCGCGAAAATGCAACGCCCATTGGCAAACCGGAAATATTTCACACTTCCGTGGCAATAAATCTTTCGAGACACTTTTTACGTACGAAAGATGAGCTGCGAGGACGGATAACCATGGGTGTTTCGAAATATCGTCGCCAGAACTTTTCTGCGCTTGCCTAAATTTTTTTACTTGAGTGGACGTAGAAGTCAAATCTACTTATCTGACTTTTCTGTATATGTTAGGTACAAAGCTTGAATAAATTTTACCAAATAATAATTATACGTGATATGTGTTCGGGTCTCTGCATTTTTATGATCAATATTATTTTAATTCGAAATTTCTAATTTATTATTTGAATATTGCAATCGTAATTAACTATCCAATTAATATATTCAAATTTATATATTTATAAAAAAATTTAATTATTCTTTAACACAAAAATCAAGAAAAATATTCATTTCTGGATGGTTTGATTTTTTTAAATTTGAATTTATATTTTTCATAATTTTATCATTTTAAAAATAGTAAATAATGATATCTAGGCTTCTAAATAATGAAAACATCATAATACTAATAGACGAAACATTGTTGCTTATTTACAACATTGGAAGTAAAATTTAGCAAAATTGCATTGACTTATTTCCACAGTTTAATTGTGCAGAATAAAATTTTCTATCATATATATTTTAATTGGTTAAGCACGTTCCGCGAAACTCCGCCAACGAAGTGTGCGCTGTTTCTCGCGTCTTCGTGATCCCTCATCTTGCACAGTCTGTTTGTTATTATTGGAATGGTCCACCTCCTCGGTCTAAGAGCACTGCCAAACTTACGTGACACTCGAGGAGGTAATTAGGATATCCTCTAGTGCTCTCTGCGTCTCTCGTCTTCTCTCACGACCGAGAGGCGGCCTCACTGTTGCTCGGTGCAAGAGTTCTCGAGTTATTATTGAAAACGCTCGTAATATGCATCTCTGGAATACGTCAGTCAAAAGGTATCTGCAGAGGCCTACTTGAATTTATACAGGAAATTTTCTTCCAATGCAGTTAACACAGTACGATGATTAGTAGCAGTATGTACAACGTATTTTATTGGACTAAAATCTAAATCTATCTTATGTCTTTTCTATTATTTATTTCTCTAATTTTTGTTTACTTCGAGAGAAAAAGTTTTTATCACAATTTAGTTGTATTATTATTATTCAAAAAAATATTTTATTAGCGCGTTAGTAATAATACATTATATTTTTACTTTTGAAGCTTTACAAGAATTAAGAAATCTTTTCTGTACAAGATAATATATGATTCTAGACTTGACTATTTCATTACAAAGGATACGTATAACAACTTTTATTGTCTATTATTTAGGTAGATTTTCCATTTATACGTATAATACTATAATTACAATATTTTAATCTTACAATGCTAATGTTGCTTCTCATAAATATGATTTGCGTAATAATTTTTCGTAATTTTCTGCAAGATGCAGATTTTACTTTCAGCGCAAACTCGCACTTTCCTCTTCCAGCGAATCGACAGAAAACTCAACCGATCGTAACATCCAATCGCTCCGAGACCAAAGACATTCGAGCGAGCACGTTACCCCGTCGTCGGGGTGATGTCACTCCAACTAGCACAACACCTCAAAACAGCCCCAATCGACAGAGTCCAAGGACATCGACGCCCAGCGTCGACAGCGCCGTCGGCTCTGCCGAAGGTCTGGGTGTTTCTCAGCAAGGAAATCACGAGGAGATCCGACCCAGAAGCGACGGTTCAGACAGTCTGGCAACATCCAGCGCACTCACCAGCCCAGAACCACTAGTTCCTGAGACGAACCAAATCGAGCCCAGAGTCGAAACGGACGCGCCCACCGTTGAACTCGTTGGTCACGAGTCCGTGTACCCTATCGTCGAAGGGAACATCGTGGAGGAAACCATTCAAAAAGGTGAGATTTTAAGAATACAAGTCTTTATTAATATGTATTATTACTTTCATAGGCCTTAATATCACTAAGAACATTGCAACTGCCTTTAATTTAAGAAAAAAGAAATGAAAAAATGTTTTCATAATTATTATAGAAGTATACCTTTATGTATACTTAATTTTATTATTTAGAAGAAGAAATGGTACTCTTTACATTAAGTCGGTAACGGGGTTCGTTTTTTAACATAATTAGATTTCATTACTTTGTCATTATATTATTATAATAATGCTTTTAAGGCTTTCACGGATATATTTGATAATCTTCAAAGATACCAGAAGGTTTGCCAATTATTGCCGTATTTTTGTCTTATTACTAATGCCAACGTTTAGTGAACCTTTTGCCGTTCACTTCATCAGGGCGAGGAGCGCACTGATATATCATTACACTCTATATTTTATTGTATGTTTTACTGAAACTTTTATTCACTATGTTACATTAATTTCTAATTTCTGGATTATTTTAACAAAAAGAATCGCGTGTGTCTTTCTCGGTATATCTTACCGTAATCTCGAGGCAAAGATGCAAAGTTTTCACTTGCGATAGTGGTTCGATTGTATGCGTGAGAGAGATATCTCAGTAGGATATAAAACGGAAATATACTCGCGTGGGAGTCCGCGAGTGCCCGAGCGAAATCTGCTTACCCGAATTTCTTGCGCGGCGTTGCTCATCACGAGGAAACAACGGCAGGAAGCGAACGATGAACAAGACGATGAAACGATAGTCGCGGCGGCGACTTCCTCGTGATACTGTCGTCATCAGCTGAGAAATTCGCGTCGGTTTATCATTTATTGTGAATAGAGCGCGGTTCTAACCGTATGAGGACGGGCCGTATGTGAAGTCATCAATGAAGATGGCTATAACTCAATGACGCTCAAACGTCTATTTCCACTCTGGCACCCACCGTTCTGAAAATAGTGTCGGCGCAAAATAACATGAAACTTGCGTGCACCTTTGTACCCGTGCTCCTGTCGATGCACCCAAAATAGTCCTCGTTCTGTTCGGCGTTTTCCAACCCCCGCATTACGCTTTGTCCATCGTCTCTCTGACATCGCAATATATATATGTTCATCCGCTTGATTTGATCCCATGTTAATAAACTTTGTTCTTTGGGATTGTGTGCAACAATAAATTCACACGCGATTTACTTTTTTCAATTTGGAGAAGAAATGAAACGACTGTGAAATTAAACTTAATGTTGTTAAATTTAGCTATTAGTGATCTCGTAATCTAAAACTTAAGAAAACTCAAGATATATATTTAAAATCATTTTATAAATGATAAAATATTTGATACGCACACAAACATAAATGCACAAACAATTTTTTAATAATTTATTTTATATTAAAAATTTACTGTTTACAAACAAAATAAAAATAGTTTTATGTAGCATCAGAGAGAGGAATAAGAACTTAAGGATTACCGAATCTAGAGCTAATAAATTTTCGGCTTCTTAGCGGAAGTATATCAAAGCCAGAAGATGTGCGCCTAAGAGAATGTTTAAGAATTTGCTTCTATTCTTATATTCTAATCTTAAAATGTATATCTTGAAATATAATCTTTACGTATATATACAAACGTTTCGAATCTAATTCATTGTATAGCTCCGAACAAAATGTATTTGATTTATTGTGAAAATTTGAAGCTTGGAGCTTAAGTTTCGTTAGTTTCAATATATCTACATAAGATTCCTATCTGACTGTATAACTAATTATCAGAAATATTAATCTATTTTGGTATGGATAGGCGCCGGATAAGAATGACAGAATCGTGAAAATGGTTTTTAGAAACTAGGATAGAGCCGCACGAGGTGATCATCACACCACCCCCGGAGGAGCCGCGACTGAGTCAAGCGAGCGAAGGCAGCGAGGCGCCGAGCGAGACGCCTTCGGAGGCGTCCTCGCCATCCGGCAAAGCGAGACGATACCGGGGAGACACCAGCAAGAGAAGGAAGGGCGTGTACATAACTCAATGGCCAGAGCCTTTGGACGCGGACAGGAACAAGCTGTCGGCTCAGAGCAGCGAGGAGAGAGACGAGCCACCTGCGACGCCCAGCGACCTGTCCGACTGCGAGGGCCACACGCCTCGAAGGTAACCGGAGAACCTACCAGACCCATCGAAATAGAACGGAAGTGAGCCTTCGGACACGAACACGCGACGATTTAACATATTTCTTTTCCCATTCTTGCATTAATAATAATCTTAGCAAGACTATCGGAGTTTTACATGTAAAGCACAGACGATTTTTACGTCCCGATTGCTGGCTTGGTTTCTTTTTGTAAAAGAGAATTCTTTCATCGAATTCACAGGCTCATCATCATCAGGCTTTAATATTTTTTAACTTTAAAAGCATCTATGAGAAACTTTTTTATAAATCACGTACTCGAATGTAACATTTAGAAACTTATCTCTTATTTTTTGAAAGTGTAAACTACGTACGTTTTCTTCGCATTAATTTAGTTTAAAAAAAAAATTTTTTTTTAAATTGAAGTTAAAATTTTGGTTTGTGAATCCTTAATGCTCGTATCTCACTTACAGATATTTATAAACAACAATATTTTCTTTTTTTTTAAACATGAAAGGTACAGCAAGAGGCCCCTTCGCGGGCCCTACGGGCAGATGCTGGAGGCCGAGATGGCGAAACCGCGCACCACCGATATCGCGCTCGAGGAAGGTCTTCGTCCTCGCAGAAAGATCTCCGCGAATCTCTCGTACAACGCGAGCAGCAACAACAGCGGTTCCGAGCCGCCCACACCCTGCCACCATCGGACGACCTCCAGTCCGACGAAACTCGAGGGACTTCCGGGGCCGAGTCCTGAGCTGCTCGCGGAGCTGCTGAGAGGGTCCTCGGAGAGGGTGGCTCGCGCACCGGCGCATCGAAACGTGAGTCAGAGATTATCTTGCTTCGATATAAATTGCCGGTTACAGTGCCCCGGCTACATTTCGCCCATTTTTCGCGATACGACCGAGATAAGAGCGAGGGAGGGCCGTAAAGTATCCGCACGATTCGTGCAGCGCATTTGTTATCGAGACATTTGATGCATGCACAATGCACGCTCCTTTTGATTAATGAACGAGCGATTTCGTCGGACAATTTTTTCTTGTACATTGTACGATATTATTACATCAAGTATAATATCATATATGTATATATAAGTTTATATAAAGTGACGCGGTTATTTATTTTTCATGAATTTATAAGATATTCTCTAAAGCTGTCAAATTTATCGAATCGTGTGTTTGAAGGCTAGTTTGAAATAATACATAAAAAAATTAATCATGTCATTCATTCTCTCTGTGGGAGAAGTATTTTATTTATATCCTACGCTGAATCATGAATATGACTGACTGGTTCTCGTCGACAAATACTTCATGTTTAAACGTATAAATCTCGGGATGAGGCGGTCACATTTCGCGCTAAATGCGTGGCATGAATACGAGCCAAAGAATTCTGACTCCGCGTCTTCCTCGAATTTCGCTTCTTTTCTAAATATCGTACAAAGACGCTGATCGCAGGCTTATCTCCCTGTATCGCTGACTCGTGCATCAGCGTTGTAACGTCTGGCAAAACGAGAGGCCACGCAGAGGTAAGCGCCGGTAAACCGAAATCTACAGTCCAAGCGAAACGAATCGCCGTGCACTCGCGTTCGCGCGCTTGTTCGACTATACAGCGCCGAAAACATAATCTAATAATAATATACGGCCATATTTCTCGGATGAGTCCGTGCCTTGGCCAGTGCACTCGACGTTAGTGTAGAGCCCCTATACGATTCTGGTACGGCGGGGGCGTGTACGTAGATATTCCTGGCAGGTTAGGTGTACCTGGGGACCGACCGGTCCTCAATCGCATCGATGCGATGATCCGCCACGACCGTCTTGGCGCGATCTCCACGACCTTGCGCGGTATATACTCCTATCACCCTACGTTGAAACGACGTTTTTTTCCTACAAATCTTTTCAATGAATCCGTTTCACTTATCTGCAGAACTCAATTGTATTTTTGCCATACGTTAAAAGAAAAATTAATTAATATATAGACTCTTTTTTTATATAGAAAAATATATTCTGGAAATATTTTTAGCGATTTAATGATTAGGGATTTAAATTAGCTTATACCATGGTAGAATAGAGATTTATATTATTGATCATATTTTCTCTAAATTTTAGAAATATTGTGATAAAGTTGTTTAAGAAAACAAGGCCGCGTTGAAACATGTCTCTCTATTATTGAATTCTATTTCACGAGATAATTCTACTTACTAATTCTATTTGCAATTTATGTCAGATTAAATTAGATTTAAGCGACATCGAAGGATAGCATCGAAGAATTTTCCGAAATTATGTCTAAACAGTTTTGATAATTTTATAAGCTTGCGCCGTTCTCTTGTAAATTTCGTGGTAGAACTTTACACAATTCTGCTGTGCTCATGCAATGCACGCGTCCTCTATCTACGTTTGCCGTTTAGAAAGAACAACAAAGAACCGCGGGAAAACGATAGACCCGTTTTATCCATGAGTCCTTGGCGGCCGCAAATATATCACTTAAAGATGTCGCCATAACTTAGTCACGTTCTCCATGCCGATTAGAAGTCAAACGGATCCTCACGACGCAGTCAATTTGTTCGTGATCGTCGGTCGATAGGGTATCGAGCGTGAAATGTTAAAACGTAGCTATCAGTAATAAAGTTCAATTGCATCTGAGCGTTTTAATGTTATTTGCTAAATGTGGCGCGTGAGAACTTTTCAATTGAAGAAAACTGAAATAGAAATGTAAATATGTTCCGTCAATTTCACTGATATTATGTTGAAGAAGTTTTGTTATATGTTTTTTATCTGTTACATATTAAATTAGATTCCAATAGTTACGCGCCGACGCCCAGATTTGTACTATATTTAATTGTATTATTTAGAAATGTGTGGCAATCAAAAATAGAAGTAATGCAATTTAAATTTAATTCCATCTAAAACGATTCGCGCATATACAGGTCAGGTAAAAAAAAAAAAAGGAATTATTGAAGATCTTGTTGAAAAGATTATTTCTGTTCATGTGCCGTATTAAAAATAGATTTGCAGATATGCAGTCGGTTCAACAACGAGGAATGCATTTCTTCTTAGTGGAGGAGATATTCCGTGAATTTCTTCGCTAAGATTTAAAGCGCGACTGAATGTTATTACGAATAGCGTTCGCGGACGAAGATTAATGAGGATTTTCGAAAAATTTATATCGTATTGCGACGATACACAAACGGCGGAAATTAATCACAGTGAAAGAAAGCAAAGTTGTGTTTGCCGAGAGAAAGCAGAATTGTTTATGACGCGAAGTGGAATGCATTTATCCCGATATCTCTGTGTATGCCAGTTATAGTCATCGCGACGAGCGGGGTTTCACGAATATCCTCAGGGACGTTTTTATATCTGTGACGCGACGGAAAACATGCGCTGATACTCACAGGTATCAATCGCGTATTTGTACGCAATCGCGTTTTCATCGGAGAGAGAGAGAGAGCAGTGAACTATTTCTTCCGCGAAGAGACCTTCCGCCGACGTCATGTTTACCGTTGACGTCACTACGCCCAGGCGTCGTGAATTTTGCGTTTTCATTCATGAAATCCCCGAGAGCGGAAAGTGACGTAATACTAAACACCTACTGCCATGTAAAGCTCATGAAAGCTCATTGTTGAGTACTTTATAAGATCCTTTTCAATGTTTTACTATTACACGAAATCTAATCTTATTTTTGTAAACATCCATCGCACATTTCGCATTTTTATCGGATTGATAATTGTTACGAAAAAGTTTTTTAACATTGAAATTTGAAATAATGATATCCATTTGATTTAAAACGCGAGAATATTTTAATAAATTTAATAATAAATTTTGGAGTTAATTTTTTATTCAAAGATATAAATTTTATAAACAATTTTATTGAAAAATGCGACTTTAGTAAGGCAATAATATACAGTTGTGAAAAAATGAAATTCGATATTCCGTAAAAATTAAAAAATATTTATATATAAAAATTCACACATACACATATTACAAATTGGATACAACTTTAATATCTTCTTTTTGATTTTATTCTTACTAGAAAAGAATAAATATTTTTTATGTATTTTGTGTACATACTTTATTATAATATTTACTTTATTCAACCAAAATATTTGGCGCTTTAATATTGAAACAACAAAGCGCGGTACTATAAGTATACGTCCAAGCATTCCGGCGATGTATTCTTGAAGTAGCAAGTTTCCGTAGACGTGATGGAGTAGTATGCACGGTACCAGGAGTACAAATTCGTTACTTTATCGACAGCATTATCGGTAGAAGTTTAGAGAAACTGCGGCCCCAACGGCAGAAATTCGACGCGCGAGAAAGCGCGTCGGCGCGCGAGAGATACACGACAGAGTATAATGAAAGGCTCGTCGGCCGGCCATAAACTTTCGAACAATAGCGTAATCGTGGTTCCATTGACTGTTAAGAGGTGCGGACACGACTAGGTACGTGGGTGGTATCGGTAGGTACCGACTTTTATTACTCGCCGATTGTATATCAGTCTCCCCGGAGTAGACCGTAAAGGAATCTCGTGCACGCGCGATATTAAACGTAGTTACGTTCGATATCGTTGCAGCAATTTCCAAGACTCGGACAAACTCTCTAACAGGATCTTCTTTAATACCAAAACGATATAAAGATAATGCAAGCTGCGTTTTTCTATTGACTTTCAGATTTTTAACACACAGCTTAGGTTACCATAAGATTTTTTCTATTTTATTTCTCAATTATTTTTCAAATATTGGTAAAAACGAAAGCAAACTATCGTTTTTCTAAGCAGTACGATTTTTTTCAATACGCTATATAATTTTATTCTGAAATATTTTGTTTTATTTATGTTATTAAATATTTTGTGATAAAAATCTTCTCGGTTTACAACTGTGCGATACAAGTGCCTTCAATTTAAAAGAATTTGAGAGTTGATTGTTCTCTCTCTCGATGCGCGTAAATAGAAACGCGCGTCCGTCATAAATCAGTAACGCACTGCTTTCGCAATACTTCGCGACATTTCGATCGGATCGAAGAATGATCGTGAAACTGCGGCGTGATGCATCTGTATATGCGGAGCCTCGTGGCAGGCCAGGATGTTACCGGATAATCTATGAATAAACCGACTAGTGCAGCGCGCGCACTAAGTAGTTGCACCATTCGCTGCGGGGCACGTTACCGGGAAATATTTAAATATTTAACTTACGCGATGGTATAAACCACTTGGCCGCGGCTGATGCCTGTAGTTTCGCAAGCGGCGGCCACTCGCCGTTGCGCGATATTTAATTCGATCGAATCGACCTTAAGATCGCGCGCAAGGCACTTCTGCCTCTGTTGTGAGTAAACACAGAACTGCATTTTCGAACCTCGCTGCTCAACCCATAAATGTGCGTAACTTTATTATCGCGCTATGAGCACAAACCTACTTGTTTGCTCGCACATTTTCGTAATATTTTATATTAGTCACACTTTCGTGCGTATTAGTCTGAAAAAAATGCGAATTGAATGCTTTAATATCGGCTGGCATACAGACTTTTTCGTTTTATTTTTTTTTTTTTAGAATATATAATTTATTTTTTATATTCTTGTCCTTCGTTTTCTAGTTTATTAAGAACTTTGTTCTGTATTTTGATATTAAGGAAAAATGTTCTTTAAGCAATATTTTTTTATACAATACACACAATGATACTACTTGGAATAATTATTACTTAAATTCTTGACAAAGAATGAAATGCCTCTCAAATTTCCGGCGATTCTCAAATGAATAATACATTTCTGAATATAAGCTACGAAAAATGTATAATTAATATTTTCTTTTATGTTAGAATGCTCGATTATTTCCG